AAAAAAAATTCCAAACTTTCCTTCCTTCAAGAAGCATTCATTATATTGTTCCATAGCAGACGAAATGGGTACCTATATGAAAAGTTTAGAAAAGACTTTCCAAATTTCCATTAATTAGCTAGTAATCAAGTTATTATGCTTTGTTATTTACATGAAATAGTTAAAATCACTAAAATAAGGAAATCTCATCTAAAATTAAATAAACTAGATATATTTAGAATTGATAAAACGTTAGCCAAATCAAAGAAGTTTTATCTATCTATTCAAATAAGCTTTGAAATATTGCCTACAGCTGAGTGATCTTTATTAGTCCTTTACTGTCTTGAACACCACCACTTGACAATTATGCTCTTGATCAATAATATTTCTTAGATCAATTCTTACCTATTCATTGCAGTGGTTTAATACGTTCTTTGATTTAAGGAGACAAGTCAATTCTAGAAATGAAAACCTTTCTCTATGGACAGATGCTGCTGCTCTCCCTAACCACTGTGAACTTTAAATCAACACTTGCTCCTTGAACCCCAATATTAATGTGGCCTGTGCTTCTTTCCTTATGGCCCCAGCTGCAGGCTGAGGTTGGGGAAACAAAGATTAGGGTGATGAAAAACAACATTCAGCATAAAAAATACTTGATATATGCCTCGGAAACCCAAGGAGGGGTCGCTATGAGTCGGGTGTGACTCGATGGCAAATAACAACAACAACAACATATGCATTTATACAGTAAGCTCTGGTGGTGTAATGAAGGCATCTGGCTGCTAACCAAAAGATCAGTGGTTCAAAACTACCATTCTCTCTTCAGAAGAAAGATGAGACGATCTGCTACTGTAAAGATTTACAGTCTTGGAAACCAAATGGGGCGGGGACACTGTGAGTCAGAATGACTCAGTGGCAGTGAGTTCGGTTTTATATGGATTTATACCTGCTTTACTTTTTGTCAACCACACCAAAGAGTACAATTTACATAAATGTAAGGAGCTTTGGGAGCTCTGGTCGCTTAATCCCTAAGGCATTTGACTATCAACTAGAAGGCTGAAGGTTCAAACCCACCAGCCATTCCTCGGAAGGAAGATTGGGCATTCTACTTCCATAGTGATAATGCCACGGAAACCCAAGGAGGGGTCGCTGAGTCAGATCTGACTCGATGGCAGTGAGTTTTGTTTGGTTTTTAAGGAGCTTTGGTGGCATGGCTAAGCAATGGGCTACTAACTGAAAGCTTAGTAGTTTGAACCCACCCAGGGTTCCTGGGAAGAAAGACCTAGTGATATGTTTCCTTAAAGACTGCAGCTAAGAAAAACCCTATGGGGCAGTTCTACTATGAGTAGAAAAAAATAATTTGACAGCACCTGACAAAAACTACAAATCCACTGCTATAGAGATGATTTTGACTCACAACCACCCTATAAGACAGAGTAGAACTGCTTCATGGAGTTTCTAAGACTGTAATTTTTCTGCAGGCAGACTGCCACATCTTTTGCAGTGGAGTGGCTAACGGGTTCCAACTGCCCATCTTATGGTAAGCAGCTGAGCATTTTAATTACTGCATCCCTAGGACTCCTAACGGAACCCAAAAAAAAAAAAAAA